GAGAGAGAGAGAGAGAGAGAGAGAGAGAGAGAGAGAGAGAGAGAGAGAGAGAGAGAGAGAGAGGCGTGGAACAAGGGGAGGAAAACTGACCTTAGGCAGCGTACTCCGCGGACGTCGAAGGCGGCGGCGGGTCGCAGTGGCTGAAGAATGCACTACACGGTGGATTGCAGCAGCGGACACAACATGGTGTGCAGCCTTTTTTTTTTTGTGCAGGGACTTGGAAAAGTATGGGGTTGGAATTCAAATTCTTAGCGCCTCCCCCCTGGAGGGCATCTCAGGAAGATGCATCCCCCACAGAAGGGCAAACCGGACAGGCAGCAGGGGAAATAGGACAGCGGGTAGGGGCATTCCAAAAAGTTGTGCCCCTCACTGACAGGGGCCTGTTGGAAAGTTCAGAGGCCCAGGGGCAAATCAGGGTAAGTCGGCCGTCGGAGGGGCAAATCGCAAATTAATGCAAACTTCAGGGGCATTCGAAAATTTTCTCTTTTTCCAAAAAGTGGAACTTTATAGTTCTTACAGAAATGGAAAGAAGCAGGATTAAAAAAAAGAAAAAAAGAAAAAGAAAGTGGGATCCACCCATTATGTCTTTTGGTGTAAGGGGAGAGAGGCCCACATTTTGATATTATGTAGACTCTGACAACTCTAGAAAGACTCTAGACTATTTTCTAGAGTCTATTGTAGTGGAGAGAGACCTTAGGGCCTCGCTGCACTACTCTCGAAATGTGCAAAACGAGAGTGAATATGGAAAGAATCACGGCCATGATTTTTGCCTTTTGTGCATGGCGAGAGTAGTTGAGTGTGATAGGGTGGGCCTCTCTTCACTAGTCTCCATATGTGCAAAACGAGAACGAATCTTCTGCAAGAACATGGAAAGATACACCGTGGTTTTTATCTTTTGTGCATGTCGAGAGAGCAGTGGCGCGAGGCCCATTGAAGACAAGGCCTGAATCGATGTTCAGAAAATTGAAATAAATAAATAATTACACCCAGAAATCTTTTTTTTTTTTTTTGACACTCATAAATCGAGAAATGGCATGCTTCCCGAAAAAAATAAAAAAATGAAAAATGGGACGCTGGGCTGGATTGCAAGCACGTGTCGCTCCCCACGCATAAGAACGGAGTCACCAAACGGCCAAGGGCGGGGCCTTCGTGAGACGGGAGCTCTTATACCTGGCCACATGCACGTCCGCTTTTTTTTTTTCTTTTTTTCTTTTGATATGTTAGGGGGGCGGAAACAATAGAAAAAAAAGAAGGCCCTCAAATCTGTTTGCAGTTGGGATGTTCTGACTTTTCCTTGTTTTTGGGTTTTTTTTTTTTTTTTTTTTTTTTTTTTT